CATGTGGGGTTTACATTTACAGCTTGCTATTTATCCCTTACAGCCCCAATAAGCTTTTAAGGACAGCACTGCAGCCTTTTGTGCAATCACTTTGTGTTGTGCAGCCTCCCTCTCATGCTCCCACGTTTGTGGGTGAGGCTGAAATGGGCTCAAAGAGAGGTCACTTCTGGATGCTTTAAGAACAAACTGGCATGGACTTTTTGTAGGTGCGCTTCAAGCACAGAAAACCAGCTTGAACTAACTTGCGGGGCAGTAAGGCACAGAGGCATGCTAAGATGAAACAGCATCTTCGCATATATGCTTTGTCATGAGTTTAGATGAAATCCAACTTTTCCATGTTTTAATGCAGTACACTATTCCCTGTACATGTAGTGCAGCATGTTAGGTGGGTTTTCTGTTACACTTTATGAATGGAACAAGCTTGTATACTTCAGGATTTCACAAACTTTGCCCCACTAAGGTCAACACGCTTTGCAATGTCTGAGGGCCACCTGTACGATTCGTACTTATCCCATCTATGTGTTCAGTTTACACTTAGTATGCTATCCAAAATGTCCACTGGAGTAAATAACCACCCATAGTACCTGTTTCACCAGGTTGCTTGTGGTACCTGCCACTGGTAGGTAGAGATAGTGAGGGGAATTTATCAAAACTGGAGCAGACAAAATCTGGATCAGCTGTGCATGGCAACCAATCAGCTTCTCTTTCATTTTCAAATCTTAACTGAACAAAGAAGCTGGTTGCCTTGGGCAACTGCTCCTGAGGCTTGCACACCTGGAGATCAATGATGTCTCTTAGGCTTGTAGCATAACTAGTCATCCATGCATATTTATCTTGTTCAGCCTGCCGGCTGAATAAAAGAAACCTAATAGATTCCCCAATCTAAGCTAAACAGTGTGGATGGGGGTATATCCCTGGCCAGCTAATGTATTTAGACAGCTGGCACCAACGTCTGTCTGAATACCCTTTGGGCCCGCTCACACTAGCCCGTCTGCCAGGAAATCTGTTTGCACAGCAACTATAACCAGTTTGAACTTAATTGGTGCCAATGGTGCAACTCCTTGTTTATTTTAGGCACTTTGATAAATTAAATCCTTCAAAGTCTACTGGTTTTGTAGCTCATTAAACACATTAGATGTGATTGCATTGTTTTGTTCAGCTACTAGTGTATTTAAAACTAAATTGTCATGGGCTCTCGAAGCGGCAACACTTTCACAAAATAGGTATGCAGAGGTTAATACCAAAGCATCCAACATCGCTATTTTAGAACCAAAACTCCCTTCCCCATTCTCCCTTGTTTAGGTGTCCTGTTTAGACTTGTCTAAGTAAACATAATATTTTACTTTTATAGCTGAATCGAGTTTATTTAGTTCTAAAACAAACCGGCATTGAACAAGTTATGAGAAAGGAAACCAAGTGATACAATGCAATCCTCAGAAAAGGAACAAGGTGAGACAACTTCACAGGTTTCATGAAGTAATAAGGTAGTGAAGTAAACATGGAGGAGCAACCAATAGACAACAGGAGGAGAAGGAGAACTATGAGGCGAGTGAAAATCAATCATCCTCATAGTTCGAGCCGACATGTGATAATGAAACTGTCACAGGTTGTCTTAATAGATCGGGAAGTAAGCGAACACATACCGTCGCTCTCTCACTTCTCGATCATCTCCCTGCAGAGAGCAGTGACTTTCAGTCACTGTTCCCCGAGGGGATTCCCCCCTCTACGCTCCAATCCTCCAGCACTCAGTGGGGGAACAGACGGGGAGGGGGTGGGTAAAGCTGGCTCTGCAGATGGGTGGATCTCAACAGCATTGTCGGGATCCGTCCCGGCTGCAGCGGTCTCAGTATATAGTGAGCTGCAGCTCGCGATATACTGAGCTTTGGGTGATGGGGGGACGCTAGTATATGTCCTCCCGTGACCCTTAAGAGAACTATGGGGCAAAACACTTACCCATAGTTCTCTTTTAAGCACGTTCTGACTTAACATCACAGCGTATTTCTCATAGATAGTAGTGAACAAAAGTAAGAGCAATAAGTGTTTAACTTTTTTTAATGTGTTTTATAATTCACTAAACTTCTCATCCAGTCTCTAAATTATTGGTATTTTCATATGCTCCTATTAAGTGGTGGTAAAAAAGTACTTTTTTAAAGACAATTTTTTGCATAATAATTTTTCATGGTTTGTATGATCAGGGATTTAGCAAGGGTGTCTCTTCTCGACAAGTTGGGAGGTATGTTCATTTTCTGTGGATTAAGAGCTTTTGTGCTTAAAGCAAACTTGTAGTAGGATAGAAATTTATAGCGCAGACAAGTTGGTGTAGAATTCTAAGCATCTGTTCAGGTTTGGAGCTGACAGGCACTCCTTCCACTGTGTACAGCAGAAAAGTGAGATACAGATTGTATATAATTTATACTCTACATTTTTCTTCCACAATCTCAAAGTCGAGAAATGCTGGCAGGATTTCATCCATCACTATGACCTGACAGGATGCATTTCCTAACCCACACCTGGTATGGACCTTTGGGCCATAGTTCTCTTTAGGGCCAAAGGAGGACATTTACTATATCCTCTTGTGACCCAAAACTCAGCAGATAGCAGGGTACTGCCCACTTTATGCTGACAATGAAGAGCCATGCTGCAGTCGGGACAGATCCCAACAATTTTGTCGGGATCCACCCCGCCACCTGATTGACAGCTGGCTTTGCCTCTCTAAAGGCAGAACCAGCGGTGCTCACCCCTGTCAATGCTGGAGGAATGGAGAGGGGGGAATCCCTACTGGGAGAGGTGACTGATAGTCACAGCTCTCTGCAAGGAGAAAATCGGGAGCTGAGATATCAGTGGTATGTGATTGCACTTTTCTCGACCTATAGAGCCGATGTGTGATAACTTCAATGTCACACCTCGGCTCTAATCGTGGGGATAAGTGTATTACACTTTCCCCATAATTCTCCTTTTAAAGCAGTAGTAAACCGCTGCGTTCTGGGTGGGTTTTTGCCATAATGTCTAAATATGCACAGCATACGTGTGCATGATGGCACAGTTACCTTACAAGTGTGCCCTACTTTAGCGCTGTGCGATGCATCTTTGGTCCCCCACTTGGTCCCTCACTGTTGCCACTTCCAGGTTCCCAGGCATCCACTCTGGCCATTGGTTGGCTAGTGATACTGTAACTCTTGCGCATGAACACAGGCTTCTGCGGCACCAGGCCCATTCATGGTATCTTATAGATGTCATAAATAAGCTAAGAGAGCGTATAGTACACGTCACATTTGCCGTACAGTGTACACCAATGATAAAATATTGCTGGAAGAGAGGAGGGAAGACTTTTTTTAGCAGAAGATACTTTGAATGTATCTTCTGCCAAACATGCCTACCTCCCAGTGAATTTAAATTTTTTCACTCTACTCTATGCTTAAACTAACAGCCAAATTTGCAGCATTTCCTTATCTCGTGGAAACAAATGGAGAATTTATTTCTGTATGGGATACTGCTATGGGACAATTGCTGATACATACAGGCTAGCTGTCACTTAGCAGTAAAGAGTCATGCCTCCTGCACATTGTAGTTAGTCAGGTTGATAAAAGACACAAGTCCATCAAGTTCAACCTATAGAGATAAGAGAAGGAAAAAAAATGAAAAACCTAAAACAGAACTATGTCCACAGTCACCCATAGTTGATCCAGAAGCAGGCAAAAAAACCCTATTAGGGATATTTTGCTCTAACAGGGGGAAACAATCTTTCCTGATCCCATAAGGCAATCGGCTATTACCTGGCTCAACAATCTCTGGTGCTTAATATACCTATAAGAACTCAATATCCAGTAATATTCTGTACATTTAGGAATACATCCAGATTTTTTTTTTTTTTTAACAGTTAACTGAGCTAGCTTGGACTAGCTCCTATGGAAGTCAATTCCCCATTTTCACAGCTCTAACTGTGAAGAATCCTTTCCATATGCAAAGGTTAAACCTCTTTTCCTCCAGATGCAATGAGTGCCCCCTTGTGCTTTACAGGGATCTTAAAGTGAATAATTTGGCACCGAGCTCACTATATGGACCATTTATGTATTTATACATGGTGATCATGTCCCCCTTTAATCGCCTCTTCTTCAGAGAGAACAAATTCAGGTCAGTTAATCTTTCCTCATAGCTGAGCTCCTCCATGCCTCTTATGAGTTTGCTCGCCCTTCTCTGCACTTTTTTCCCGTTCCACAACATCCTTTTTGTGAACTGGTGCCCAAAACTGAACTGCATATTCCAAATGAGGTCTTACTAATGCTTTGTACAGGGGCAGGATTATGTCTCTATCTCTGGAGACTAGACCCCATATAATACAAGAAAGTATTTTGCTTGCTTTAGAAACTGCACCTTGACATTGCTTTCTATTATTAAGTCTATGGTCTACCAGAACACCCAGATCTTTCTCCGTCATTGACTCCCCCAAACATACTCCCCTAAAGTGTATGACACGTGCATATTTTTAGTCCCCAAGTGCAGAACTTTACATTCATCAACATTAAACCTCATTTCCCAAATAGATGCCCAATCACACAGCGCATTCAGATCTGCTTGTAAGTTGGAGACATCCTGGAAGGACTGTATTCCACTACATAACTTGGTGTCCTCTGCAGACACAGAAATAGTACTTTTAATCCCCAACTCTATAACATTTATCAAAAGATTAAACAGTAAGGGGCCCAACACTGAACCTTGGGGGACACCACAAACAACCTCAGACATCAAACTAAACAAGATCAAAAAAACATATTGCATGGACATCTGTGTTTTATTGGGGATTGATATAAAACAAATGCTTTTCCAATGTGTACTTAGAAAATGACTTACGCTTTCGATCAAAACAGCAGTCACCGTTACTAGGAAAAAGTATCACTTCACATCTACTTTCGTATGAAGTCCTTGATGCAGCAGATACTTGACTTTTGTATGATCTTTCATGTTTTAGATTACAAAAAATAAAAAGCAGATCTTTGTTTTAGGAAGAAGAAAGACGTACTGCATCTGTTCTGGTAAGAAAAGAGGAAGAGCGGAAGCGTGAAAGCCACAAGCAAGCCCTACTAAAGGTAAACTCTGTCGTGTAAGAATCTCAAGGCAAATTGAAAATTTCACTCATCAGGTGTTGACGTTTCAGCCCACCCGTAAACTGTTATGATGAAATAAAAGAAAGGCTATAAAGGCTGTACTCCTGTCTTTTCCTGGGACACATCAAGAGTATTTCTCCAGTATTTAAAGCCTGAGGCAGCATAGCCAATGGATTTGATGTTATTTGTTACTTGTTTGTTTTATAGCTAAATATTTTATTTATCTATGTTTATAAAGCAGAAAATGATGGAAAGGGCTGTGTTTTGTTGTGTTTTTTTTTTCTCAGGAAAGCACATATGGCTCTAATTGGTACTAATTTAGGCAAGTTTGGCTCCATTTACTAAGCTGTGTGTTTGATTAAACCAGTTAAATGCTTCCTGAGGTTTTCCTCATACAACAAGGAATACTGCGCCGATCGTTTTTTATCGGGAAGTGGAACTTGTCTTTACCTAAATCTCCTAGTATGTGATTCTGCATTGTAATCGTACAACTCTGAGCCTTGGTTATTGGAATCTGAGAAATAAGAGGGACTTTCTGTGCTCCCCAAAATAGCCACTTCTTTGTGGCTATTTATTAATAGCTACTTCTTTGTGGCTCCTTATTGTTTAAAACTGTACTGGAAGAATGCAAAGGGAAATCTGCCTGGCTGCTATATGCAGAAGCTAGTTCTTTTATTTCAGATAATCAAGAATAAGTATATGTAAATTGAATCTGTGCCTACATCAGGGCTGAACATATCCCAGGAGCCAGGTCGCCAATGCTCCCTAAAAATTACAGCTGGTGACTAACTTTTGAGGTTTTCTCTAGTTCTTGTCATTGCTGACTCAATGATCACATGTTAGTTGCAGGGCAGAAGCTCATTCACAGAGATATATTCCATTTAAGTCATACAATGAGCAACAATCAATCAGAAACCAAATTTTTTTTATACTGATTGTACTAACTTTCTAAAAGTTGATATCTGATTGGTTACAAGCACAGGCATTTCTTAGATACCAATGCCACCCAAAACTGATTTATCAGGTTGAATCACCCATTGTATCCATACATGTTGTTTCTCCACTTTTATTAAAGTCCTATGTTCTGTTGTCAGTAACTAATACAAGACTCTTCTGGATTCTACTGGGTGATTTACTATGTTATTTCTGTTACTGTGTTATAATTTACAGCATTGCTAACGTAATCTCCTGTGTAATGACCCTTACTGTTCTTGAGTGTTCTGAACAGCATAAGTTGGAACATACTGTAATAACTATCTTGCACTATATATGCACTATGCTGCTTCCTGATGACATGGACACTGCACATTGGCTATAAAAAGTGACAATTGTGGGGTGCTGTAGTTTTTAAGGGGCTGCATCATGGTGTCACAATGTGAGAGGTAGCAGACCTGAGCAATCGCCACTCTCCACTACTGGTAGGGGTGCTGCAAAAGGTCATGGGACAGCAAAAACTTTGGGTCCAGGAATCCTTTTTTTTTTTAAATTCAATTTACCTGCTTAGCAGTAGACTGTTAACAGCAGGTGGCTGTTTTTAAACATCCTTTCCCACTCCTACCCGCGCTCCCCCTTGTAAAAACAATGATTACAGTACAAATTAGACTGCGAACGTCTTAGTGAGGGCAATGATTCTAGGGCCTTGGATCACTGTTAACACTAAACTGATAAGTGGTAAAAGCTTTTAAATTGTCCTCTATAGGAAGTTTTGGGTATGGTAGTTTTTGCGATTTCGAAGGCGCATGCAGTTTTAAGTCTTGACATGTTTGGTGTCTGTTTACCCAATGTGACCCCCGTCATTTATATTTTACCAAAATCTTTGGTAATAATAAATGTTTCATAAGATAACGTAGGGAAAACTTTTTTTTTCTTCAAAATGATCAATACTTTTTCTTTAATTAGTAAAAAATAAAAAATCAGTGGAGATTAAATTCAACCAAAAGAAATCTATATCTGTCTGATATAAAATTCACTGCAGCAAAGCGTTGCATGACTGAATAAATGTTAGTTAAAGTATCTCGGTACTTAATACTGAAAAATGGACAGGAAGGGGGTTTGTCTTCAAGTGGTTAAAAAAAGGGTATTTGCGGTGTTGCAATAAAAAGAAACCACATCGTTTTGTTACTTGCGCTTCACAAAGACTACTGTTAAATATGCCTGATAAAAAAAGACTTAAAAGCAAAACTTTTATATATTAGAGCTCAAATGTGGTGACTGCATTACTTTTTTTTAGGCGTATTTCCTTTATTTTACCCCGGAAATCTGGCCAGTAAGCCTGTTATTTTTCAAATTCCTTCAACAGACCAAACTATCCAGCAAAAGTGAGAGATGGATGGTTGTGACCAACCACTTAACACTGACAGGGGTGCTTACAATGGTTAGCTTTTATTCATTTATATAAAACGTTTTATAAGTGTAAAAATGTTTTGTTGTAACTGCTGTTAGCTGGAGTTCATCTTTAATTTGCTAGTCAATTCCATCTAAATCTGCAAATGCATTTAACACTACCTTCTTCACAGGTTGACAATGCTGCTGTCCAAGGGTGGCTCCAATATCCCACCGTAGAGGGGGAACCACCCTAAGACAGTAGTGTGTTACTGGCCGAATCACCATGCGAAAATAAAGAAAAAAATAGCATAAAAAGACAACTAATGCAGCCCCCATATTTAAGGATTGTTAAGCTGCATTATATTTCATTTATTGTTTTTGGGTCTATACACTTTAAGGAGAAGAGTTTTTGAAACCTATAGTTCAAAGTAAGGCAGAAACACATGGAAGAAATTCAGCATTGTGGCTTCTGTCCCTGTTGGCATCCTACCTAGATAGGTGAAAGGACACTCTGTAAATAACTGTAACATAGTTTGAGCTTGACAAAGAGGGTATTCCTCGAACGCGTTGCTCCCCCGTGATCCCCGAGTCCCAGAGTCTTTCCCAGACTCACTGCTTGCTGCTCCATTTAGACCTACAGGGACAGGACTCTATCCCGGACTGAGCATTGCCATCCACAGCCGCATCCACAGCTGTTGGATCGAGGGCCGCCAGGTCTGCCTACACCGCACCGACTCCCCTTCCACTTAGCAGTGACACGGACGGAGCCCCTGCTCGTCTATTCTCTCCGTTCTCAGCCCCGCACTCTCCATCCTGGATGGGCACCTCCTGACAGCAGACCAGCCATGTGCTAACACACATCTAGGACACCTCAATCCTCTTCCAGGGCTGTCTCTCCTCCGGTCTCTACATCCACATGTAAGTGCATATACCTTTTTGACAATTATTTTGCAGAGACAGTTAGTATCCATTGTGATATTTCCTACCATCCAGGTTATTGCACCCTTTGTGTTTTGTATTTGTAGTCATTGCAGGTTTCTCCTCCTAGTTCTCAGGGCAGCATACCACTTGGTCAGTACCCCCTTCCGAGAGCGCTGTTTGTTATTTTTTGTGTAAGGACATTCTCTTCAATCTTTCAGTAGATCTTAAGCATACCCAGAGTAACAGATGGGGAACAGTGTACGTCACTAGCATTGGGGCTGTTTAAACAGACTGTCGGCTTTACAATAGAAGCAATTCTGGCGACTCCGCTGTCGCCAGATCGCTTCTGCAGCGCGGTGACGGGGTCCCCCTGCCCGACACTCACGCCCTGCTTCCTGGGCTCTGTTGCCCCTCCTAAGGGCCCAGGCCTGGCTTCTCTGGTGTCGGTGGGGAGCTGGGGAGGAGATGGACGATCCTCCGTTCGTCGATCCCCTTCCCGTTCTATGGGACCGGGAGCGTTGCAGATTGCATCACTTCCGGTCCCATAGCTGTCGGTGCTGGGCTCCTGAAGCCCAGCTATAAGTTATTGAAGTGCGATCTGCCCCTTAATACCGTAGCTTATTGAGAGTGTAAAGGTGACACTCGGGGTCTTTTGGACCCCCAGCATCACCTTAAAGAGTACCTGTCACCACCATCTGCTATCACATAGTGGGCTTGTAAGCCCCCCTATGTGATAGCAATTAAAATTTAAAAAACAAAACAGTTTTTAAAATCTAAAAAGAATAAAAAAAACTTTTTAAAGGTCCCCGCGAGCACGCGCGTCGCCATGTAAATGCACGCTGGGTTCGCCTACGTATGAAAATGACGCACGCACTACACATGTTGGGTATTGTTGCACATGCCGGAGTGAGAGGAATAATTCTAGGGCCAGTATTTTTTGGTTTTTCTAAATTAATGACCTGTGGGGGATTTTAAAGCGTCGTCTATGGACTTTTTGGGGTACTGAAGTTTGTCGCCGTTTCACAGACGCACACAATTTTTAACCTGGGCATGTTGGGTATCTATTTACTTGTTGTAACCTCATCTTTTATATTTTATTAAAACATTGGTATTTTATTGTGTTTTGGGGCATTTTAAGTACATTTTTCACTAAATTTTGGGTTTTGATAAGGAGTTGCGCTAATATCGTGCAACATACAAATTTGCATCTGCCACCATTTTATTCTATAGGGTCTTGCCTTTGAGAAAATATATAATGTTTGGGGGTTTTAAGTAATTTTCAGGCCTAACATGTGGAATATATCATGGGTGCAAAAAATTAAGGAAAAAAAAGGGCCTCAGTCATGTAATTTGTGTCCATAGGCCTACCATAGGAAAACCACTAGAGTGGTAGTGTTCATGGGAGGTTACCACAGAGGAAACCACTGCTTTTCAAGAAAAATAAAATGCTGCTTATCTAAGGTTTGCTAAATACCACCACAATGTTGCACAGCACTCCTGAAACACTGTTCTGTAGGAATAGATGATACAGATGAGAAAATGTGTTCAACTTTTTATTAAGAGAAAACAAAGCAAAGCATTCAAATGCCAAAACCACAACTTGAAGAACAATGAGAAAAAATAATGACAGGGGACTATTGTATTGGCTCTGAACTTACATAGCTTTTCACGATTGACACATAAGGCTGTATCAGGAAAGCCAAATATGCTTAGATTTCTCTCATGCAAGCACTGTG